CTTCAGACTGAAGAGATTCAGTTCCTTCAGTCTGTCAGTGTAGGACATTCCTTTAAGACTAAAGCAATCAAACAGTTAAAACTGTTCATAGCTTCCTAGAGCATTGTGCAGTTTTATCAAAACATCTAGTGAATTCTGTGTTTATAAATATATGTCCTAGCATTGTGTTTGCCCTTTTTATTACTTCCCCACTGTGTAGAAGATGTAACTGATGCCTGAAAACACCTCAATATTTCCCATTTTGTATGTAGCATGTAATGTTATACAGCATCTGCGGGTCACTTGAAGATCCCAAATGCAGGGCAGAGCAGGCACAAACAGGCAGGGTAATGAATAGAGTCCAGAGTCGTAGTAAAGAACAAGGTGCATAGCCTGGTAGACACAGAGACACACCAGATCACAGTTCAAAGAGACAAGAGGGTCGAGATTCCAGGGAGAAACACAAGAACTAGGGCATGAAGATTAGGCTCTGAACAAAACTCCACAACAGAGACCAGAGCACTGACAAGGAAAAACCTTAACAGTCTACTCTTCATGAGACAGGCGTGGTTATAACGTGAATGCAGGTGGAACAGAGTTTCTGCCTGAGCTGATAGTTACGGCAACGGGCTGACAGGTGAATAGCAAATTTGCTGGTTGCCTTGGTAATGCTTGTTTTACAGCTGTCTAGCTGGGGCGAGTATGACATGCAATTTACATTTAAACAACCTTAATAAAAAAACCTGCTCTTGTCCACATTAAACAGCATCTGTCAGATGTTTGTCCAGTGATGAATTTTATTGAAATGCTTCTGAATTTCAGGTGCTGCTTCAACAGTGTTTGCTGATCCTGCTTTTTTGGAATCGTCCGCAAAGTTCACTAACTGTAATAGAATTTAAAGTACAGTGAACCTAGTACAGACCCCTGTGGTACTCCACTAATCACATCATAGATATAAGTAAGAAGAAGAGAGGTCCCAGTACAGACCCTTGTGGTACCCCAAATTGAATTTTGACCTCAGTTTGAGCTTTTGACTGTAGTCTGTACGCTCCATTTAATATTAAGCAATTCTGAATCCAAACACAAGAATCATTTTCTTAGTTGGCTGGAGTTCTAAAATGCTGGAGATCTTTTCTGTGGTCTTCTTGATACGACAGACGCAGCTGAATCACTGGAAAGCCCTTACACCAAACGTTTTGTGCCTACTACTGCAGCCTCAAAAACAAAGACCACCCTGCCTCTCCAGTTCAAGATGAAGCTACCTTTTCTCAAAGTACTCGATGTTGAGAAGTTCCACATCTCCCACACCTTCAGGGATAGAGTTACTGAACAGGTGAGAGTGTGAGATTCTAGATTTCCCTATATACGAATCAAGAGCTTTGATATCATAAAACAGGAGTCCTAGTACAGACCTCTGTGGTCTGCCATTCAGTGGAGGAGTCAAAGGGATAGCAGGGCTCATAGCTGGAGAGCAGAGTTCCAAAGTGAATGTTCAACTAATCACAATTACTTTTGGAAAGTAATCCAAAACGTAGCAAAGTTCATAGCCAGGAAGTAACAGAAAGACACTGCATGGGACAATCCGAGAGACAAAGCTGAAACAAGCAAAACAAAGTCCAGAACCAGGAGATATCTTCAAGTGAAATCCAAAAAGAGATATACAAGGACTCTTCAAGGTCGAGGTCAAAAAGCCAGGGGAGCAAACACAAGCAGTGCCGAGTCTTGAGACAGTAATTTCTGTGAGAGTGTGTGAGAGTGTGCAAGAGTGTGACATGAGTTCTGCTCTCACACTGTACTAAATGAGGTAGGTGGTCATTAACAGCCATTTTCCTGCCAGATTGCCTTGTCATGGAAATGGGTTGAATGTGAGTGTGGTTCAGGTTACACTGATAGCGTAGTTCCTCGAAAGCATCTTCCTGCAATCTGGTGTCTGGGTGACAGTACCCAAAGCCCGAAAGAGAGGAAGTAAACTCCAGACCATCTCTGATTCTCTTGCAGGTGGAGAAGGCGTACAAGAAGAAATATGACTCTAAATTCCATCGTTCCAAAGTGACAGAGACAAAACTCGAGTAAGAGCTGGGCTGTGCCTTCGAGGCCATTTTAATAAACTTGTACCGATCCCTAGTCTCGCATTTGAGGGACAATAACACCCCCGAAACCCATAGTGCAGAGCTCAGCACAGCTCTAACACACTGAGTTACATAGCTCAGTGTTTGGTACAACTCCAACACATGGATGAGATGTAAAACCGAGGTCCTGACTCTCTGTGGTCATTAAAAATCCCAGGACATTTCTCAAAAACATGTAGGGGTGTGATCCCTGGTGTCCCTGGTCTTTACCACTCATGGCCTCATAATAATCCCCAACTCTGAACAGGCTTCATCACTCTGTTCTCCTCTCCACTGAGAGCTGGTGTGTGGGTGAGTGTTCTGGCGCACTATGGCTGCTGTCGCATCATCCAGGTGGGGCTGCACACTGGTGGTGGTGGAGGGGAGTCCCCATTACCTGTAAAAAGCTTGGAGTGGAGTGTCCAGGAAAGTATTATATAAACATAAGGATTATTTATTATGACACAATGACTGTTTTGTATAACAGTCATTGTTCGGTATAGTGTTCAGTACAGCTCTAACACACTGAGTTACACAGTACAGTGCTCAGTATATCTCCAAGACTCTGAGTGAATGGACAGTGTAGTGTTCTGTCACACTTTAACACAATGAGTTATTGGTCAGTACAGTGTTCTATACTTCTAACGCACTGCGTGACACATTGCAGTGCGCAGTACTGCTGCAAAACCATTGAGTCAATGGTTGTTATCTGTTCAATACAGCTCTAACACACTGAATCTTTGGTCACTAAAGTGTTCATCACTGCTCTAACACACTAAGTCATTGGTTGTACAGTGTTCAGTACACCTCTAGTTGTTGTGTATAGTGTTTGGTATTGTGAGCTCTAGGTAAGAAGACTGGGTTGACAGTTCATTACCATACTGAGTGCAGAGTGACAGGCTGTGATTCCTTCTGTCTCTCTGTCTCTTCTCTCCTTGTTTTTCCTCTGTGTGTCTAGTGAGGAATTCATCGTTGTCAACATGGAGCTCGTGTTTCATCAGAGTCCTGCTCCTGGTTTGGACGATTTTGTCGAAACCCTGAAGAAGGCGCTGCTGGACTTCACAGTTCTGTTACCAATAGACCTGAACTCCATCACTGTCCCAGGTAAGAGCAGGTCTGGAATCATGTTAGCTCTTCCAGATACAGAGAGTGTGTGGGGATCAGAGAGCTGCCCCAGATACAGTAAGAGTGTCCAGGAGTCTGAGAGCTCTCCCAGATACAGAGAGAATGAAGATCGGAGAGCTGTCCCAGATACAGAGAGTGTGTAGGGATCAGAGAGTTGTCCCAGATACAGAGACAGTGCCCAGGAGTCTGAGAGCTCTCTCAAATACATAGGGACTGTTGTGGAATCAGAGAGATCTTCCAGATACAGGAAGAGGTGGGGATCAGAGAGCTCTCCCAAATACATAGTAATTCCCCACAAATAGAGGATCATAGGAGGTGTCTTGGAATTCAGGAGGTGTCCTGGAGGGGAAGAAAGATTGTGTGTGACTGGGGGTGATTTCCTACATACTGTACAAATTTTGCAGTGCCAGTCCTGCCTCTGATGCCCAGTCTCTGCTGAGGGTACTGTGGGCTCACAGTCTGAGAATATTTCAGTGCCAGTCCTGTCTCTGATGCCCAGTCTGTGTTGAGGGTAATGTGGGCTCACAGTCTGAGAATATTGCAGTGCCAGTCCTGCCTCTGATGCCCAGTCTGTGTTGAGGGTACTGTGGGCTCACAGTCTGAGAATATTTCAGTGCCAGTCCT